CCAGGCAATGTAGCTGTCAGCAGCTACCCAAAACCTGGGCCAGCTGCAAACATCTGCTGCCTCTCCACCCTGGAACCCACCTGTGCCTGCTCACGACAGCCCCACACAGGCTGCGAGCAGCTGCAGCAGGGAGTGCTGGCCACAGGGAGGGGGAGGGGCCACTTTTCGCCGTGCTCAGCACCAGCTCGTTCCCTGCCACAGAGCAGGGTTTCGGGGCTGCACGCTGCCCCTGCCTGTATCGCAGGGCTGGGGGGCACTGGGAGTGAGAAGGTGCACAGGGCCCACACCAGTGTCCCAGGGCCAGTGCCAGTGGGGCCTAGAGCAGGGCAGCAGGGGTACAAAGTCCTGGCTGGCAGGGGCTCTATGGAGCTGGGCCAGCTCCCCTCTCTCCCTGCTGGTGCAGCTCAACCCAGCTCTACAGACCCCTGCCAGCCTGCACCCCACTCTGGGCCCCACCAGCGCTGGCCCTGAGACATTGGTCCCAAGATGGTGACTGGGGGCGGGGCTACCCATATGGCCCTCGGCAGCTTGCCAAAACTGGGTAAGTGGCCCTCCGCCCTAAATAATTGCCCAATACCTCTAAGTCCCAATTCAAATTAGACCCTTCATTCTTTTGGCCAGACACAGCTAAAACCAGAGCAATTCCATGAATTTTCATGCAGGTGCGCAGATTTATATAAATAGAGAGTTTTTCAATTTATCATTTATTTGGGAGGTATTCCGAGCTGGTTTTGGATTCAAATAAATATTAGGTATTGGTTAAGGTTCCCAGATAAGTTTTGCATTTCAGCTGGTTCACAAACCATTCTTAGAAGATTTTTTGCTGTATCTCACCATAGTTGAATAGCCTTCATCAGTGAACAAAGCTGGTAAAAAGGGATACATACAAAATCAGAAATTCTAGAATAAATTTGCATCTCTAAATCCCATTAAAGAAACTATAACAGTTCAAGATGGCTTTGTGTTGTGACTGTCATTTAGGATTCTAATTTATGCTACCAATGATTTAATTGTAAAAAGGTTTATCACAGACTTAATATTTACAGACCATGAAGCATAGTGTTGATGTCTAACTTCTTAACAGGTTTTTCATGACATTTTAAAATATCAAAATATTTACCTGTTCCTCAGAAACCTCAGTAGGTGGAGGTGCATCTTGCTCAGACTGGAGAATATCTTGATAATTTGCATTACGTCTATGACGTAGGGGACGAAAGAGTCTATTCCAGTTAATCATCCCACCCTGAAACCAGATATTTACTATTATTAATATTTTTAAACAGGGAAAGGAACACTATCATAAAGATCATCCATCTAAAAAGAGTGGCAGTTTTGTATAAACTGAAGTACACAAGTAACAGTCACACTTAAAACTGCTGAACTATCTTAGTTGTTAACAAGCTGTGGTATAGTATTCAAAAAGCCATCTTTCCTTACTTTATTTATCAGAAATATTTTAAATTATTACTTAAGCAAACATGATGATAAATATGAAATGATATTTATTTCTTATTAGAACTTCATGTTTCATATGCATTTTAGGAGATATAGCGCACTGTGGTGAAGAAGACCCAAGAAACTACAGTTCTGCAGTGATAAACGGAAGACGTGATTTTTGCAATTACTCTGTGTGTGATCACCACTGAAGTTAACTGAAGCTTCATGCACTATTTTCAGGATCAAGCCCATTGTAGTGAAAATAGATACTTTTCTCTATGTTTCTTT